GCCAAGGTGAAGAGCTTTATGGGCTCTCGTGAGTACTGGAAATTGGGTCCCAGGACCCTGCGGAGCAGCCAGAGCCAGCTGGCTGTGCCAAAATAGGCCATGAGAGGACCATGCGCCTGGACACCAAAGCTGGGCGCCACAGAGTTTTCTGAAGAGGCAGGATGCTGATCTGGATGCGGAAAATCCACATCAAGCTAGAATCTAACTCTGCGGAGGAAGGAAAAATGTGAATGGAGGGCTGGAGCCCTATGCGTTCACTGAGACCAGTCCCCGATGTGCTGGGAGCCCGTGGAGTCAGGCGCAAGCTGAAGCCATAGCCATTGATAATGGGAACTGTTGAGTTCTGAGCCCTTGGCGGGAGGACACAGCGCAGCGTGGAGTGGAGCCAAGATGGAGAACCGCATTGATTCCTAGTGAGTGCTGGGGATTGGGTCCCACGACTGATGTCGCTGGCTGGAGGACATCTTGGAGTTGGGCAGAGCCCGGTACCATGGTGGCATCAGTTGGCTGCCTCTGGTGCAGAGAGGACTGGTGGGATCTTCTGGGGCTGAACTGCGCCTCTGCTTGGGACCCAGTAGCCAGGGACAAAACTGCCACGACTCTGTGACATCCACAAGGTACAGCCTAAGTTGCGAAAGGAACTTGCAGCTCAACTGGCTCAGAGGCTCAAGGCTAGCCTGCACCATCCCTGCATCCCTGCATGTACCTCAAATAACAGCAAATTGGGGAGGACAGCAAAACCCCAGTCAGCACGCTTTGGAAAGACCCTAAGCAATACAGAGAGAATCAGAAACGTCAGGACACACCTGTCTGAAAGAAACCAGAAACATGGCAAGAGATAGAAATTAAAAAAGAAACCTCCAGCCACTGACCCTAGGAACAATAAGCCCAGGAGAGGTAAATACAGAAGAAAACCAATGAAGTAATCATGCAATATTAGACACAGCATCAGCGGACATAATGAAATGTTCGTGACCTCATAGACGAATTTAAAACTGTACTTCTGATCCAAGTGAGGCAAGATATAAAATGATTAATTAAAGAAATGATAAGGCCCTCCCAAAAAAACACAGATGGAAGAATGGAGGAATTCAGCAAAGGAAGAGAAACCTTTGATGAAGAATATACACAAAACCTAGAATACATGAACCAGATCCAAAGAGATTACCAGGAAACTAAAAACTCCATTAAAAGCTGGCAAAATGCCTTGACAGAAACTAAAATTAGCCTTTTGAAACTTGAAGAGAGATTTATAATGTGTGATCATGAAAGAAAAAATCTCTTAAAAATAACAAGGAATCAAAAAGAAACAATTCAAAGGCTAGAAGACAACAAGAGGATTTATAGAAACAAGATACTTCCAAGACAAGGAGGAACTGAGGGAGTTCATGTCCACCAATCCAACTCTGCAAAAAACACTGAAGGACATTCCATAGAGAGAGAGTAAAAAATACCAGGATTCCAGCAACAGTGGCAGAGAGGCCCCAATGAATAGGGCAGACAGTGGAGTGAAGGAGTAAAGTGGACAAATAATAGCAGAAGAATAGAATAGCGTAGATGAGGCAAAGACAGTAAACTATAATCTTTAATATACATAGCCTTGATACCCTAACAAAAAAGAAACATAAGCAGAGTAGATTAGGAGGCAGGATCCATCGAGATGCTCTGAATAGGAGATACACTCAACCTGAAAGAGGGTTAATAAACTGAAAGTCAAAGATGAGAAAACAATGCTATATGTGACAGGAAGCCAGAGAGAAATAGGGACAACTCATCCAGCAGCCACAGATAGATTGGAAAGCTATGACACTTTTGTGCATTGTAGAACTACACAGCTGGAAGGAAGGAAAACCTTGTGACTTTAGCAAGTAAAGGAGTAGAGCTCAAGATCAAGCTCAGGGGTAAAAAGGTTCAGCAACACTTAGATGGATAACAGGTTGGCCTCTTAATCTAAAAACTAAAGGAGCTAGTGGGACCCAAAATATACAAAGCATCCTGAGAAAGGGAAAGGGGAGGTATTGTCTAAAAAAGGAAGGCAGAGGACATTGTTAATAGTGTGTCAGAGTTTAAAAGTCACGGTAGTCTTATTGCTCTGTTTAGTTTGATTATGTTTTGTTCCGGTTGTCTACTCATATTAGATTTGAGGGCACAGATAGCTAACCCAAAAATAGCAGGTTATACCATGGTAACTATCCTTAATTTCCTATTAACTTACACTGAAACCCTGTATTACTTACATTGTCTTACTATGACTCATTTTATTTGAAGCTGGTTTGTTAGACCGCTGTTTTGCCTTGACTGATTTTATTTGAATTTGGTATGCTTGATAGTATCAAGTCTAAGAGTAGAGGCAACTACTCTGAAGATGACAAGATGTAAAAGATAGCCATTTCAGTTTTGATTATTAACAGTTTTTAAGTCCTACAATGTCCTCAAAGTTGTGTTTTTATTAAAACAACTATGCAATGTTATGTTCAATTATATTATGCCTGATGATGTAGACAATTCTATTGAACATAACAAGAGAAAGCATAGTAACTATTGTAGGTCACCTAATATTGTGGTTTTACATGTCTTTTTCATTTCATGTTTTTCTAGAAATTTGTTTTGTTGTCTTTTTATGATCTGTTTTTCCTTATAATAGAGAAAGGGTAGATATACATGTAGAGATTCATACATGGGGAGAATTTCTAAACTGTTTATGTGAACAGATTATATAATGCACAAGGTAATGTAAAGATACTCTGAAGAAGAAGAGACACTAAGGAACCCAGTGCTAATTCTGTAGCTTTATGATATAAAATCTAGCAATACAATTATTCACTGTTCAGGGTGATATTAGTGTAGTCTCTTATGTTCAGTTTCAGCATATGTAAAGATAAGGACAGCTACTATGAAGAAAATGAGAGACATTATGGTAGTCATTATTGACTTCCCCAAAGTCAGGTCTTGAAAACCTAAAAAGCCTTCATTATTCTGTAATGATTTGATTAGTTCTATAATGTTCAATATGTATTCAATGTGTGTGAAGATGGGGACAACTATTTGGAAGAAAACTAGATACAATAAAATAAACAGTGAAGATCTCCAGTGGACTTGCTTTGAAATTTGTGTTTCTTTAAGTTGTTTCCTTATAAACTGTTTTGTTCTGTTTAATCTTACTCTCTTTAAGATAAAAAACAACTGTGTAGGACTGATAACTATATTACTAAGTTTTTGTTGGATCATTGAGCAGAACTGTTTGCAGTGTCATTTGAATGTCATTTTGTATGCTTTAATTTTGTAACTTGAACAACTATTTCTAAGTTGACAATATGCAACTTATCAATTAGTGATTTCTTACTGTTTATTTTTCTGACATGCTGTATTATTTCTACCTTTTTTTCTGGTTTTTTTTCTCTTTAAATAAAAGAAAGGACAGTAGGTTCTCTATATATCTTCTTTACAGATTTCAGTTACTTGGAAGTAGCTGGCATTTCCTGAAAGATCATGGGAAGCCTCAGATTAGTGAGAAATACAAAATGAAATCCATATCTTGAAAGTAGCTATCCTTCTCAGGATTTTGGGAGATCATATTAAGATGACAATAATTCTATCAAGGAAAAACACTACAGAAAGAGACACTGTCAATTTTTCCATTTAAGTGTCAACTGTGCCATGTTAAATATAGTTTCTAATAAACTGCTGGATTTGAATTATGACTCTCTCAGTGATTTATGACACAAAAGGAATATTAGGAAACTTTTATTTACATCAATTTTCTCCATGATATATTGGAGATAATGGTTCCTACCTCACAGAATTTTGAAATAAATGAAATGAAACAACATGTGTAGAATATTGAGCTAATGCCTACAACCATAAATGTGGTTAATAAATACTAGTCATTATTATTACTATCATTAGCCAAACATTTCTTATCAAAGAAAGCACTATCGTTTGTACTCAAATGCAACCTAACCTATATCCTTAAATAATAGCCCCATGGAGAGTCTCATCTTAGGAGAGTAAGTAAACAGGAAACTACTATTCAGTATAATACGCCAGTAATTCCTCTTTAAAATTTCTCTAACTTCTCATAAAAAATGTTTCTACAGCCATAGAGAAAACTATCTATTTGAAACGTCCAGATGACTTTCTCACATGTATATTTGATATGGTGAATTCTTGTAAATAGTCAGTACTTTTGTTTCTCCTCTATTCTTCTGTTTTTCAGGAAATATTCTCTCTACTCACTTAGTTCCCCAACTGGACTCGTCTATGATTTTTTTTTTTTTTTTTTTTTTTTTTTTTTTTTTTTTTTGGTACCGAGGATCACACTAATGACCTCATACTTGCCAGACAGGTGCTTACACCCTTGAGCTAAATTCCCAGACTGACCTCTACTTCTTCTTCAGTCCACCCATCATAAGTCATTCTGATTTTTTCTACAAAATACACTTCAAGTATTAACTATTTCTCTGCATTTCTAATACTGACTCTTCAGGGAGCCATCGTTATTTTTTTCTGAGATTATTGTAATAACCTGTAACTGGCCCAGAAGTAGAAAGTTTATATTATTATCCAAATTTTACATCTACGTCTCCAAAACACATATTGTAAAGCAAGCTTATTCCAAAGTCACATACAGAAATATGCAATATAGGAGCATTAGGAGTTTTTGTTTTTTAATTTAATTTTATTTAAGGAATTTAATATGATTTCTTTAACACTCTTTAAGAAGACTGTCTTCAAGACAGCCTTTTTAAAAAAGAACTTGATGCTTATTCCAATCATTCCATGTGCCCACAACTGTTTTACCTTCACTTGAATTATGAACAATGATAACTTCAAAATTCCTGAGATCTTATTATCCAAATTTCTTCTGCCAAATTATATTTTAGGAGTCTAGAATTTGAATTGTACATTGTATTGCTATTTTGCCACATGATCTAGATTCTGTATTATTCCTTAACCATTCATTTAGAACATTGAAAGTCAATGTTTTCAATTGTTAGGTAAAACATTACAATTCTCATTGTCATCACTGTAAACTTTTACTGAGACAGAAGTATGAGCTGTATCTCAATTTTAGCCACGTTGAACAATTTGAACATCAATGAACATTGCCCATTCTAATTTAGAATGAGGCTTTAGCATTTTTGTTTGACATGGTACGGTCAATAAATTAATGTTGTAACTATGTCTTTAAGAAGAGTCATTTAGCGTTTCTGAAATCTTTTGGTACAGAAGAGGAAAGCACAGACAGCATATTTGCAGTTCATTTTTAAATCTCCAAGAATTTTATAATTACAATTGAGGTCTCATTTTTAGGGCGACTTCTGGAATTCAAATGTATTACATAATCTGGGTTTAGTTGTTGAAATTTAAAAAGGTTTGTGTCCTTTGGCATCACTTAGGTGATCTGAAGAAGTCTTTTATTGACTCTTTTCAAATAGAGAGCCCTTCTTTCTGGGAAATTACCAAAAAATCATATCTTAAAACTTTATGTTTTGTCCACTAGAAAAATCTATCACAGAAAGTCAATGTTCTGTGTCATTAAGAACCAAAGTCCAAAGTAGAGATACAGCACTGAAAAGGAAAAAAGAAATTAAACATTAAAAGAAAAATGAAGTATATTTTCAAGAGGAAACCTTGTAAGAAAGACCTTTATTTTTTACCATATGTACTTAAATTACACGCTTTGCAATTCACTTCTTTCAAAGGAATAAAAATAAGAAGAGGATTACAGACCTTATACTGATGTTTCTTCAAGGGTACATTCAGATGGGTTTAGCATTTACAGTGCTGGACACTGGAAAAGGAATAGCATCCTCTATAATGGATGAGCTTTGTACGGGCCAAAATACAGCAAAAGCCTAGGCATCCTGTAAGCAAGCAAGAATTCTGCCAGCAGACACTCTTTGGACTTGAACCACAACACTGATTTTTTTTCCCCAGTCTCTAGCTTATCAGTTTACTCTGAAGATTTTGAAGTATAAAATAATAGATTTATATGAAAAATATGATATATATATATATATATATATAGTCCCTGACTTATGAGCATTCAGGCTGTAAACTTGCACAAATATGAATGGAACTCCCATTATGAACATTTATAGGTGTGAACAAATCATGGAAGTAACTCACATGTCTTCTGGACATTGTCACAGTTGTGCTACTCTGTGCTTACTCTACAGTGTGATTATGTACAGCAGGACAGTGCTCAATCAGAGCCCATGGTGCCCAGAAGCAAAGGAAACGCAGTGATGATGTGGGCACTAATAGGAAACACAAAGCAATAACCAAGGAAATAAACATGAACATTTAGAGACTGGACCAAGGTAAAAAGACGGTAGACATCAGTTATTCTTATAGCATGACTCATTCAACCCTTGGCACAAGTCTAAAGAACAAGGACGAGACCATGGAAGATGTGAAGTCTACTGTGAAAATGAAGTCAACAATATCCAAAAGGTGTGGTAAAGTGATAGAGGAAAAGGAGAAACTTCTCAGGGTGTGGATGCAGGACCAGCATTGGTGTATATTTGGGTCAAAGATGCATAAGACTCATTTTGTCAGATTTATGAACAAATCTGACTTACAAATCTTCTCCCAAATCAGAACTTATTCATAAGTCATGGTCTTACTATAAAAATGTAGTGTACCATGTATCCTATTGCTTCTTTTTTCTCTGGAAAAGTCTGAATAGTATATCTGCCTTTATAAACTGAATTTGCTATGGGTCTTTAAATACTTCTAGCCAGTGAAAGCTGGGATTCTTAATGTCTTCTTGTAACATTAGACTTTAAACATAATCCTAAACCAGGCTTTCAATGCAAAGACTATGAAGAAGCTTTAAACAGGGAGGTTAGTGTGCACGGATCTCAGATTGCTCCTAGTTGATCAAATCTCTGCCAACAAGCAGATAGTTGGGGATTCCTAATCTTTGGGTCTCTCAGATTTCTCAGCCTTAAGCTCCTGTTACTTACTCAAAACTTAGACTTATGTCAACTTTTAACTGGGAGGGGTACTCACATGCTGCTTGTCCTTTGTTTTCCTTGATGGATCTTCCAGATGTCGAAATTCTGAGATCAGTTACCAGTTCTTGACCTAATACATTTTCCAAAGTCTGGACTTTGTCAAATTCTCCAGACTTTTCTTTTAGTTCTAATCAAGCCATAACTACCTAATCCATACCTCTCACCAAATATGCCATCTAGTCCCTGCCTGTTCACCACCTTTTTCTACCACCATTTGTCTTGCTTGCATCCCAAACCTACTGTACCTCGCACTGTAATCACCTGGGACTTCACTATCTCCTTACATATCCTGTGTCTTTTCACCAGTCCATACTCGGAAAATGCTACTATCTCTGCCTGGAATAAACTTTTTCATTGCCTGTCAGTAAACTACTGAACATTCTGGAACTGCCTAAATATTACTGTCTTTTGAGGATATCAATGGCCTTCTGAATAAGTCAATTATTCTGTCCTTCAACACTTTTTTTATGTCTTCTAGCAGGAACTTTTATGTCTTCTAGCACTATTATCCATTTACATGTGTTTTTCTCTATGTTGATGCCTTTGAGGACTGAAATTAATTATTACTTAGTTTTATGACCCAAAAGACTGCCTCATCATATAGAGGAACCCTTTTGGTACAATTATTGATTTAATATTCTTGTTGCTGTTTGATTTTCTTCCTTTATGTCAAGAAATGACTTGAGTTCTACCAATAACCATCAACCTGGAGTAATTCATTATAATGACACTCAATTATTTTCTTTACAGGTATCAGTTATAAGTTTCAACTTGCCTACATACTAAATTTTAACTGAATTATAAATTAATATATAAAGGGCAAGTGTTTTTATCCTAAAAAGCTCTCTTAATGCCAAAAACAATAACTGAAAGAAAGTATCAAATAAGTTTTTCTCCCATCTAAACCCTAAATTTATATAACTCAACAGACAAAAAATTTATAAAATTTATATAATTGTACAGCACTACCTATCAATGTACTTCTTTATATGCAAATGTTGTTTGTTGTTTGTTTTCTCAACCAAATGTTAGGTTTCCTGTCAGAGTAAGTCTTACTATTTAGTTTTGGTTCAGAGCTGACCTGCTTACAATAACAGAAATGGTGGTGTGATTTTTCCTCTCAAATACCTTAGGAGGGGCTACTTAGCCACAGGAGGCCTTCTCTACTATTTGTTGACTTCCAAGCTCACAAAGTCAAATCTCTAAATTGTGGATAGCCATGAAAAATTCTAATTGTCTCACTACATCTTTAGTTTTTAAAATTATCAAATGTGGATTTTATTCTTGCTAGGGAAAAGGGAAGTAAATTTTTTTAAATTTAAAATAAATTTTCTATTTTTTCAGAAAATAGAGGCTAAGTCAGAAACTGTAAAGTTCATGACTTTGGAGGATACAGTTTAGTCGGTCTCATTAGAGAGTCTATGGCTGAGGTAAATATTTTGTCTTAAATGGCCCTCATAATGTCTGTTGACAATAACATTTGGAGATTATATGATTCCTCATTATATGCTTGATTTATACAGATGCTAATCTACAATAGCTGTTCTGCAAAAATACTTCCTCTTGGTAAAACATGACTCCCATATTCACGCTGGGCTTGTGATCTAATAATAGAATGTGAAAAAAAGTAACACTTTGTGACACTTTAAGTTTGATTCTACACTTCTACCTGGGTTCCTAAACAGCCAGGCAGATGTAAACACTCTGAGACCATAGCTAGGGAGAGCACTTGTGGGCTCTCAAGCTGACAAAGCCCTCCCAGGTCTACTCATCCAGTCCTACTAGTCTGAACATCAGACAGGTAAGTGAAGAGACAGTCTGGATGTCCAGCCCAGCCAGCCTTAGCACACAGCTGAATGTGACCACACAGCAGACTCCAAGCAAGAGCCAATCAACTCACAGAAGCATAAGAGATCATATCAAACTATAGTTTTAAGACACTAAGATTTGAGACGGTTTGTGATGCAGCAAATAGAGATATAGTAATGCAACCTGAGAAGGTAGACTAAGAATTAAAAAAAAAAATGTAGTGTAAGGATTTCAAATCACTGGAAAGCTGAAAATATTTCTTTATGTAGTAAGAACTGGGTCATTGGCATTCTAAATGAGAAATTACCTTTGCATATGTCTCTCACTTTGAAAAATCAATTTGATTTTACTTAATTTTACTGCTATTTCTCACTAAGTGATTAAGAATTCTGTGTATTTCATCACTTGGAGAAATAAAGCAGAACACCACTGTCCCCTGAGACAGCAGGAAGCAGGTAATGAGAGAACCTCTGTTTTCTTCCAGGATGTGAGTCAGCAACGGAAATCATCACTCCAGCTCTGACTTTTGCTGATCCAGCAGATGGATGCTTCCCCTTCGTCATTTCCCTGCTGTAAACTAGCACAGTATTATGTCAATTATGCTAATAATCATAATGGCAACAAAATAGGTACAATTAAGTCTTCCCACGATGGGGGGAGGTAAATCTCATGTTTTGCAATGATTATACTAAAGATCTCATTAACTGAGTTAAAAGAAAGAGGCCTGAACTTTCCATGTGTGTGATCTTTTTGGTCTTACTTTTGAATGCCTAGTTCTAAGTCCAAGGCCTGTGACATTCAGATTTTTAAAGAAGTTTATTAGGAATGAAGACCTTACAAGCAATACAAAATGAACTATATTAGATGAGCAGTGCAGGGAACCTTATATCTGAATATTGTATATAAAATTTATTATATACTATATTTTTGTTATATCTATATCTTTGTGCTTCCATTTCTGAGGATCATGGAGATGATTTTTCAAAGAGAAATAAGATCTCAGTCCGCTTTTTATTGCTCAAAAGAGATGCTATCTTCAGACTTGACCTAGCCAGACTCTGAGCTATTAAGAACAAAGATAATGACATAAACTTTCCTTTGAGGTCTAGATTTAGTCATGTTGCCCTTTGTGTTATAGGCCCTACATTTCTCTAAAGATATGTAGATTTTTCCTAAATGAGAAAGTTTCTAATAATTTTAGCAATGGAGACTTTTCCCCAAAGTTATATCATATGAAACTCCAAACACAAACACTTAAATGAAAAGCCTTCTGATTAAAGCAATAACGGGGATCTAAG